TTCCGACCTTGACACGGGAGCAGCTTGACCCCTCAACAACAAAACTATCCCATAGTTTGCCATGAAAGCACTCGCCGCTGTCAGCCGCCGGTTTCGACACGGCTACAAGATTCACAGAAAACTAGTTCCCGAGATGGCTTGACTTTTTGAATGCGCGTACTACATCCGTTTGAAGTGAGAGCTAACCTATCCCATGTGGCCAATTTTGAGGCAGACTGAGTACGCTTTTCAAAACGTGGTGCAGTCAGGGGTAATTAGCGGTAATGTAGTCAATGCTCCACTGTGATTCCGAATCAAAGTAGAATGCGTGGCGCATCCCGAAAAGAGACTGATCGTAGACATCCATCCTTTAACCTTTTTTTGCACTAGAATGTAATAGAAGCATGTAATAGATAACATTACCAGAAAGTAAATGCACCGTCACATAGCCCTTCGAGAACGGATCCATGAAAGCCGGCATAAACAGATTCGCAGTGATGGGTAGGCGCTACAAAATGATCGCAACAGTTGTGCAACTTTTCGGATAATTCTGTAGATCGTTGAATGAGCTGAAAATGAAACTACTGAACGTTAACAGTTAGAGAAAGTTATTGAAACCAACTTTACTGTCTTGTTCCACAGCGATAATCGAGCAGCCGGGGAGAACCATACTGAGCACGCGAGCTAGATGGCCCATTCCAGCACCAATATCTATGACTGCGTTGAATAATCGTCCTAAAGTAAACTGTAACCGGCAATCTGTTCACGATTTTTCAGACTCTTTCTACTCTTCTCGATTAAATTACAACCAAAACCATTGCCATCGTTTTCCTTCAGCAAGCTGGCCAACGTCACAACGCGATCGATTTCGTATTGTTTCTTCGATTTCATTTTCCTTCGAATATTGTTCCTTGCTGTGATTTCTGAGAAGTTTCGGATCTGCGAACAGATACTTTAACCAGCAGACAAGACCTTCTTGAAAGCAGTACAGAGCAACGATCACCTCATTACAGCGGACTCCACACATCTTCGCAAGTTCGAAAGGTGACTTTACGGCATTTCGCGATGGTAAGCTCCTCACAATAGCTTTGAGACACAGAATCGATAGAGGCAGGATAATTCCACTTGGACAGTTGGAAGTAGAAATCAGGTCAACGCAATCTGCTAGCTGAACACATTGCGTTGCTAAATAGCCCACTGTTGTGGTAGACCGCTCAGTGCTTATGAGGTCAGTGTCCTAAGTGATAATATGAGCGGTTGTTTACACTCATAGTGTTATGATAGGTCTTCTTGGGTCTATAAAAGACCCTCTGTGCGGTGTGTTGTCAATTGTCGTCTCCTGCTCCAATCAAGCACTCTCGCCCGAAGTCGTAACACCCACACTGTGTTCACAGCACGTCCTGCCAAATGGAAAAATACGACCATCCCCTCAGAACCTCCTCCTCTTCCACGATCACTTCCCCATAAGGATGTGGGTATTTAGCATTCCAGCGGAGCTTAATAGCGTACATAAAAAAGGAAAAAGCGAGAAAACTCAACAACCGATAACATTTCTCTCGAAGGCAGTTACGACTCCTCTACCTCCAGCGAACGATCACTAGGGATCCCCCAGCGTACGAGGTACCCTGAAGGTGTTAGTGTAGAAAGATGCCTAGAAATGCAGTTGGAGCAGCATAAGCACGACAGCGGAGGGCAGCAAAGAGAAATCTCATCTATGCTCGGAACGCTATTGATCAGCTAGCGTTCGCAGACCCGTCTATACAAGCTTATCTCAGTTGCTCTCCTTTTGTTGATTCACCGTTCTAGGAGTTCACTAGTTCACTACACTTGAACTGACACACAGTAGTTAAATAGCTTGGTTAACACACGCATTATCGCAGATCATGCCACCTATAGCCTTGTAATACTAATGTTCGATTTTGTTTTACATTCCCGAAGCGGCACCCACGCCTAAGGATTCAAATGATGCACCTCTCTAGCAAATCAGATCTCCCCCAACTGAGTCCAAAAGACTGTCGGACTCATTTCCAATGCAGCAAGGATTGAAATGCTCACTCCCGAGACTGATCCTTAAGTCTTTATAAACAGGTAGGATCACGAATTACACACCTGCGCATCCTTGAATGCTAACTGCCATGACTGAGGAAGTTTACTCCACTGATCAAAAGTGAAGTAATGGATCATGTAGGAGTCTATCAGCCAGGAGTACTGAGTGAGAACATGTTGAACTACTATATCCATCTGGAAAAATCTAGTCAAAAAGTGGCACACCGGCTGAATGGCAAATATCCCTATCGGCTGTGACTGTTAACAGTGTCAAAAAAATCAATAACAACTTTATCAACCACTCAACAAAACAACAAGAATTTATATGATTCCGATCTTATTGGCGCAATCTAAGGCATCATAATCCGTCGTCAAGCGAATGTACGCCTTCTTCTCCATAAGAGGGGTGATGAGTGTGTTAATCTGTAAGCATATAATTTCTTCAAAACAAGAAACGACCAAAAATCAGACCTACCTTTTGCACCTCAATATTGTACAACTTCTTCACAGCAGCTCGAATTTGGTGCTTGTTGGCTCGCACGTCAACGATGAAGACGAGCGTATTGTGGTCTTCAATCTTCTTCATGGCCGACTCGGTTGTCAGTGGATGCTTGATGATGGCGAACGAATCGAGTTTACACCGTGCTGGAGCTGACTTACGAGGATATCTCAAAGAAAATAATTACAAACGTGGGATAATTAGCAATCTTGAACAAATGCTGAACTTACTTGGGAATTCGCGGCGTCTTCAGGGTCTTCGGCCGACGGAAGTGTACAGATGTGCGCACCTTCTTCTTTTGCATGGTCTTCTGCCCCTTGGCCACCTTTTTCTTGGCATCAAGTGCCTTGGAGACCTTACCCTTCTTCACAGTCTTTGATGTTGCCATTATCCCACCTAAACCTCCCAACAACTGCACGAAAAAGTTTCACGATGCATTATAAATGCCATACAAACATAGAAAACTCCATAATTTTACGGTTAATAACCGGTTTGTCGCAAGAATAAGCGAAAATACTTAATAGCAGATTCATTTGATACCAGTTTAATGCCATGCATTATGTTAAGTGAAGGCAAATAATTAAGCTCAAACTCTATTTACAAGCAAAAAACATTTACACTATGTACATAACAAAAATCAAAGATTGCTTACACGATGGAAATGAGGCTCATGAATGGAGGAAGTGGCTGAGTTAAAGTTATCGACATGTTCGACTAAGCGATGAGATTCTTTGAGATCCATGGAATTTTGCGACCGCTCACAAACTTGGTACGCAAAACCACCCGTTAATACAATAAATAGCAACAAAAACGCGACCACAATGGCCACAACCCATTGAAAGAACCATCAATTGCCGTCTAACTGAAACCTCCGAAGGGGGAAACGTTGTTGTCATATAATTGACTAAAGCTGGAATATACTCATTCCAAAAGGCGACTTCTTGATACAAGTAGTCTCGTTCCAGTTTCCCAGGTATGAGCATCTCTGACCAGTGAGAATAGTTGAAATTCATATACCAGTGACGCCGAGGTTCAAGAGCTGCCCATGACCCGTCATAAAGAAAGTTTGGATTCCTGAATATAAACAGTGAAAAGGGATGAAGAAATAACATGACCAGAAAAAAACTGCCTACTTACTGATAATGGACGAAACGCCTGAATATGTTTGAGAAGACTTGACTTGCATTCCGATCCATATCCGTAAAATTGACACCTCGTAAGTGGTAAGGACGCAGATCGTCGGGTAAGTAAGGATAACCGAATAGCAGGTATAAATCACATTCTCTGCAGGACCCTATAAACACGGAACACTAGCGCTAGGAAATCGCAGAACAAGTCCAACCAAAAACATACCCATCCATCCTGGTATAAAACCAGTCTTTGAGAAATTGTAGTTGTTCACATACATAAATGTACGCGAACCCGCTGCCGAGTGAAGATGAGCAGAGAGACTTATAGGGGCTGTATAGTAGGCATCGGTAGCAAAGTGGATGAATGAGTTACGTACGGCCCATTCATCGGCAGGATCGGGCCAGAATGTGTACCGATCAATGATCGCCTCCACAATCGCTTCACGATTCATACTGTAGTTGTGACGGAACGCATATTCCAAGGCGTAACTTCGGAAATACTCCTGATCAACGTTGTTGAAGTCGTTGAATTCACCAAGAAGCCGATCTTCAAGGATCACCTGAACAAAACCACCTGAGCACTAAGCATGAAGCAAGTACGAAAGTGAACTGTAATGTACTGAAATCACGTCATCAACGACCTCGAAGAATCAGAGAAGTGGGACTGATATGAGTCGACTGGAAGAAATCCGGAGCCCCCAAAGGATCGAAAGGTTCGATGGGTGCGTTCACACTTTCCTCACTCGCTTACGCAAGCCTACACCTTTTCGTGAGTGTCCCAATTCCTCGAAGAGTCGAATGCAAATCATACCTTACATATTGTTCGCACGTTAAATGACCACTCACAAAATTGAATGTGGTGGGGGTAAGGAGTGCGCGATGATCTCGTCCCCTTTTTGAAGACACGCTCAACACGAACGCATCCATAAACCAGAGGACTTCTATAGTTCAATGAATACCAAACTAACCTCTGTACCATCCTGTGCATTCATTCCAATCAGCAAAGGCACAGCACTCGCTACAGCAGCAAGGCCAGTTGGAGCGTTATTCAGGATCCACAGTGGGTTCCCCGGGATGTTGGTGCCGTCAATGGTGGGAAGGAAAAGATAACGATTGTACCTGATGGAGTGATTTGTATAGATCACCTTTCTTGGAAAACCTCAAAGTTCCTCTAAACTTACTCAATAGGGATATCTGTCGTAGCTCGGACAATGTCATTCGTTGAACGCGATAAAATGCAGTTCCAGACGTCATATGCGACCGATTGGGTGCATCCCAGATATCGACCCAACTTTATAGTATTGTTAAAAGCAAGGGCGGGCTTGCCTATGTATGAATGGTACGACACTTCGGCACCAGACATTGCGGCAGCCGAGCGAAACAAGCCTGAAACGATACAGTGAGTGACTCACAAATGAACATACATTCTTTGACAGAAATTGGTAGCGAAAGAAGAACGCAGACCCACTTTTAGATAATGGCGAAAGCATGTGCATCCCTACGGAAACAGCTCCTGCATCATGACCCAAGACAGTCACCGCCTGGGGATCTCCTCCAAACGCTGCGATATGGTCACGAATCCATTGCAGTGCAAGCCGCTGATCCATTAGACCATAATTTCCAGATTGCGAATCACCAAGGCTCATGAATCCTCAAGAATACGTTGATTAGATATCCCTTAAAAAGATTACTGGCAACTAGCTAGCTATTGAGAGACTCAGAAAAGACTCAGCAGAACCTTGGGGAACTCAAGCCACAGAGAAGCGAAATAAAAATGACAAGTTAGTAACTGCATATGTACCAAAAGAAGACTAATAATGAATAGGCGACCAATGCCATGATCTAAAAAGATTGTTCGCACGTTAAATGACCACTGACACAGCTGAACGCAGTGGGGGTAAGGTGTGCGCGATAATCTCGTCCACTTTTTGAAGACACGTCCCATACGAACGGATCCATAAACCAGAGGACTTTTCATGAGAATGAAGCCCGCTACTTACCTAATGCACCAAGGCGATAATTCACTGTGACCACAACCATACCACGAGACGACAATCCATGAGCGGGCCATTCGTTGGCCGACCCAGTTTGAAAATTACCACCGTGAAAGAATACCGCAACTGGATAGGACATACCAGATACTTTTGATATCTTAAATAAACAGGATATCGCTACATGTTGAACAGTGAACGACAAAAAAAAAACAATAAAACTAACGTCTGGAGAAAATATGTTCAAGTAAAGACAATCCTCATTTACAACGAACGGATAGGGATCGTTGACAAAAATTTGCGGACGATATTCCACATCTTGTGCACATGCGGCGCCAAATTGAAACGCCAAATACGGCTTCGTTGGCAACTCACGAATAAGTTGTGGTGGCTAAAAATGACAATATCGGTAAGGATATTAGCTTCCAGAAAAAAAAACGAATGAAAATGTCTATAACAATTCGTTCTGGACAAACCGGTTCAATACAAAATAGTTAGGCATCATAGTTCACAAGACTCTAACCTATTAAACATGTTAACTAGCCCATGAACCGAAAAAAGGGGGGGGGGGAAATGAGCAGTTCGTAACCGGATGAGACTGGAGAAACACGTAGTAGGCGGGACATCACTTTGTATGCAGCGCTTGCCACGAAAGATCGTAGCTTAGGCCGCGTTCATACATGATACAGAAATGCAGAATATGCAGAACTGCGAAATTTGCAGAAAATTTGCCAGAAGAGAAATATATAGGTAAGCGACTTCTGAAACCTTGCATCTTTACTTCAAATTCCGCGAGAATTTTGCCGACCCATACGGAAATGACGCGACAAAGAATTGATCAGGTGACTCGACTGGTTCCTTCCTTGCCGTCGTGCCAGGAATTAGAAGAAGATGCAGAATCGCAGACTACGCCACGAAGGGCAAATCCGCGGAATTGCAGACATGCAAACATTACGGCACAAGAAGCTCAGCGACATGCGACTAGGAACTTGATCGGTCCATCGGCATTTCTGCAAATTCCGCACTTCTGCATATTCCACGGTTTTTGAAATCGATAGACATATTTTCTTTTTCTGCAAGTTCCGCGGTTCTGCAGATTCCACACGTCTGCAAATTCCGCAGTTCTGCACATTCCGTGGTTCGGCATTTCTGCATCATGTATGAACGCGGCCTTAGCTCATGACGATTCATGAGCGGAGGGGTGGAGCTACTTGTCATACTTTAAAACTTCAGCATCACTGTGTAGCAGCACGATGACTTGAAAAATTAGGTTAAGTCGCTAGTAAAGTACTAAATGATAAGTCAAACAGCCTTAGTGGGAAATTACATCAAGAAAAAACATGTTTGTCAAGTATTTACTGAGAAATTCAGCTGAACAACTCTATAGTACTTGACAAAACGATTTTGTCCTTTTGACACTGACCTTAGATAGCCATCTAAAATCACAGTATAAGGACATAGAGAAGGAACCTAGAAAATACTCACTTTCAAACGACGTTGACCAACAGGAGGTTCTGCATACGGTACACCGAGGAATGTAAATATTGTAATATTATTACGTCGTGGCAATGGACTCGGTTCAAAATGAGAACGTTGAGGAGGCAGCTGCTCCGACGGGTCTTGGTTTGGAGTCCAGGGCAAGTTCTCCAGCAATAATTTCTTGCCAATCAAATCGCCAATGGACAATCGCACAGCCACTTCATTTTTCATGAGACCCTAAGCCAATGGATTAGTCCAAATTGAGGAAAATGTCAGCGAGTAAGCCACCTCACCTGGTTCTTCGGTCGAGGTGTTGATGTTGGTCCAAACGGATTCCATAAGTCAATAGGTCTAGTAGGTTCCGGAATAATTTGAGCATATATTGGTACAATCACAGATAGAAATATACACCACATCACCACACCACAACTCACAAACGAACCATCTAAAATATTTATAATAGAAAAAGTAAGTCCCTTATGAGAAAGAATATGCAGACGCATGATAAGAACACTGAAAATCACGACGTTAAGTAAAAAAAATATGTGGCTTAGCTAACATATAATAAAGCAGATTCAAGAGAGAAATAGTGCACCAGGACCGAAAGTAGGAATTAGAAATTGTCGTAAATTTGGGAACGAGCGTCGTGAGCGAGGTACGGTAGGCTTTGCTCACTCCGCACAAGAAATCTGCATGGGACCAGCGCACAGCAAACAAAATGTGAGAAGAGAATATTAATTTATTTAATGAACTTAGAAGATCTTTGTGTATGATATCAATTTCGTTACATAGGAACTAACATTTCTAACTGAAATTTTATCGAGTTTTCGCAGATCGATCATTATTCGAGCAGTAATTTCAACATTTCGTGCAGTAATCATTGACAATACACGCGTGTTGCTTTTGAGCTTAAGACGGGTTAGCAACACTTAAATCTTACAACATCTCATCTTGTTGTAAGCAGCTGTAAGCATTGGGAACGAGAGTACAAGTTCTTTTGATGGAATATTTGCAACCCTCAATAGGTAATTGTCTATTATGCTGCCAAAAAAACTCGTAATCGAATGTTCAATAGAGTTTTGCAGACTCACACTACTGTTCACTACCATGAAGGTAAAAATTGTACAACACGAGGATGCACTACATTTAACCTAGAAAAATTCCATGTTAACAATAGTGTTGAGTGTACATTATCACTGGTGAAATCTCATCAGGGTGGAGTCTCGTTAGTCTCTTTGGAGGGGGTCAGTTAAGGCAGGGGCAGTCAGTATCAGTACACCATCGTGATGTGTGAAATGGTGGTGTCAGTACGACCCCCCCCCCCTTTCCCAACACCTACCTACCACTTTCCTACAAGTTCCCAGCTTCCTACCAGTTTTTCCAAAATTTTCCCACATTTTCCAGTTTTTCACCCAAAAGTTTTCCGTCGAGGAGCGGGGGTATATAGCCAGTGTGAAACGGGAGAAACCGCGAAATGTCAACGACCGGGGAATTTTTTTTCCCAACGCGGCAAATTTCTCTCAAAAGCACACACCCGGCCAAGTACGACCTCCCCCCCCCTCATGGGTTTCACACAACGATGCTGTACCCTGGAACAGCACTGAGGAACAGGGAACAAATAAAAGTAATAAGAATGGACCTTTCGAGTGGCTCAGAATTGTGCCCATCAAAAACCCATTCAAAATGTATCCTGAACTGGCAAATTCTTAGAACAAATGCAGTATTCTTTGGAAGGCGGAGCTGTTATGCGTTCAAGCGATTACCATCAGAAATAATCTTCAAACTTAGCAAGGTTCAGAATACAACTATGAAAACTATGAAACGATAATCCTGGCCTGGTACTTTACAGTACTGAGTTTATAACTACACAAAGACCGAGCTTCTGAGAAAATTACGACCATCTGAAGGAAACTCACGCTTTAAATATGCTGCTTTACTGCAGTGGTAGTGCACTGGCAAAAGTTACAAGTTACTCTTGAAATATCCTCTTAGAATATCTGCTTCACTGCAGTGTTAGACCCGTAGAATAAGTCTAAGGAAAGGGATCGTAACGAACCCGAGGAGGGAGGGACGGCGGAACGGGGGGGGGGGGGTGTGGGGGTCGTAGAGCGCATCTTCCGTTATGTAAAACACAAATGGGGTCGCGCTTAGTTGGTACAGATAGGATCGTATTTTGCTGGCAGAAAACTATTTTTTTTGACTGTGATCTTTCCCATTCCCCCCCCCCCCCCTCCGCTCGACGGCTCGATTCGATGAGGAAGGACAGAGGGCTGGAGGGGGTCGTACCAACCCCCAAAAAAGGGGAGGGGTCGTACGGACTCGACTAAGATCCACAACCAATGGCGTGCTCTAGTTAGTAGTTCAGATACTGCAGTCTCGTCCACTGCGCGGATGCTAGGGCATGTTAGCAGGTTGGATGTAACGCAGCGCCAGCTCAATTCTCACCAGTTGTAGTCATTTTCTCCTTCCAACGTACAGTCCTCATCATTGCGGACCGGTGGGGCGTGTCAGTGCGGCTCCGTCTTCCGCGGTGATGAAGTCGTTCTGCACCAGTTGTTGAAGCGGGCAAGTGACATTACTGTATTATATCCTTCGTATTACTCGTTTTCTACCACTTTTTGTCGCATACGCGTTTCAACAAAAAGGCTGAGAACGGCTTCAACAGTGTGCGCACTCCTACTGGCTGACACGCCCCACCGGTCCGCAATGATGAGGACTGTATGGCGGAGAACAGGCTGGTGTCGTGCCAGACCCAGTCCTCAAGACACATGCCGCACCGCCTCCCCCCCCTTCCCCATTGTAGCAAACAAGATATACTTCGACAAATTATCGGAGATGTCTGTCTGCCCCTCCCTCCCCGCTTAAGAGTTCAAGTGCCACTTCTATTATGAACGGAAGTCGAGTGCATGGCGCATATCGGTAAAGAATCTGATCGGTTGAAGGAAGTACTACTTAGAAAAATTCTTCGGAAAACAGAAGAGAACAGTAAAAAGAGAGAGAGAGAGTTGTTAGCATCTGTGTATTGCCAAGAGTTTGTTACAGCCCCATTTCGGACAACCACGTTCAGAAGTGCAGACAGCTCTTTTGAAGCTTTCTTTCTTCTCTACTACCCGTTTGACTCCCTTATCTCATGAAAAATTAGCAGGAAGTCTATCTACCCACCAGAGGCTCAGGCAGAGGCTCAGGCAAGCATAACTTCAAACGAACAAAAAAAAAACTAGTCAAACATCAATAGAAGCTCACAGAGCAGCTCAAATCGAGCGCAGTGAGGTAGGTTGAGAAAGTGAAGGCTGACATCCTGGCTACAGGCTTTCCTAACGAATCTCGGTTCGGCCGTCGGCGCGATTTCCCCTGCAGCTGTCATCAACCACAAAGACTGGTCCTCACCCCGAAAGCTTCCTTGTTGAGTGGGCTCAATTCGTCATTCAACAGAAGTGATGCCTGATGAAAGCTGGAGACTCTGAGCTAGAGGATTCAATCAAAGCCCTCTCAGCCCTCCAAATGTGCTGCCCAAGCCCATCTGTCTCGATGATATGAAACTCGATTGGTTTCCATCCTCCTTGGGTATCCTCTGCTAATCATGCCAAGGGTGACTTACAGAAATATTTATTGAGTTGGCGAGAACATCCCGTCATACATTCAATTTTGAAATACCTGATTTTAATCTGAAGGTGACGTGACTGATATTTTGAACAATGATACCAAGATAGTACTTATATTAGTACTGCTTATGAAAGCTTTCAATTGGTTTATTGTTCTTCTCCTTCTACCTTCACTACAGAACA